TTGCTCCTTTATATATCTGAAGTAACTGGCGAAGTACTAGCTAAGACCGTTATAAATTTTCTGAAAAAGCTCAACTTGAATTTAGATAATTGTGTTGGTATTGGCACGGATACTTGTAATTTAATGTTAGGAGAGCAAAAAGGAGCTGTTAAAGAACTTCAGAAATATTTGGTGAATGCGATCAGATGTCCATGCAAAAATCATTCTTTGAACTTATCAATTTCGAAATGTTCATCCGTTCAATTGATTAGGAATTCTGTTGGAATAATTTCTGAAATCATTACGTTTTTTAATGACTCCTCTAAGCGGTCTTTCGTATTGAAGCAAATAAATCAAGGACAATTAAAATCTTTGTGTGATACTCGATGGATAGGTAGGCATGATGCAGTAATACTTTTCAAAAGTTCCTTTAAAAACATTATAGAATGTTTGGAACATATAGCGGAATGGCGTGAATCAGAATCTTCTTCAAGAGCTGAATGTTTCAAGACTTTTATATTGACTACAAATTTTCCAGTTTCCCTTTATTGCTTGAGTGAAGTTTTGTGCATAACTGTGAATGCAAGCAAAATTTTACAAACCAAGGCCATTTCTCGACAATATGCAGCTGATTTAATAAAATCCATTATTGAAACATTAAGAGACAAACGTCAAAATGCAACGAGACATTTCTACATTACTTTTGAACAGGTGAGGAATATGGCATCTGAATTAGGTGTATCAATAATACTGCCCAGAATAACAAAATCACAGGTTCATCGGTTCAATCCAGACTGCAATGACCCAGAAGATTATTATCGAATATCAGTATTCATTCCACTCTTGGACAATATAAAAGGTGATCGTTGTACAAGATTCAATGATAATGAAATGTTTATTTTCGATTTTAATATTTGGTACCAGGAGTGGTGAATTCAAAAAATATTGAAGAAATTCAATCAGCAATTGGCAATATCTCCAAATATTTATCAAAATTAGAGAGTATATCAGAAGACTGTATAGTTTCAGGTATTTCTGGGGAAATTGATCTATACAGACAGTTCTGGCAGAACGTTAGTGATATTCCCACTTCCATAGATGACGCTTTTATAAAGTGCGATTCTGACATTTTTCCTTTAATTAAAAAATGCATGATGTTGAATTTGACCTGGCCAAGCAGTGCCGCTTGAGCAGAGCGAAGTTTTTCAGCCTTAAGGCACCTCAAAACTTGGCTCAGATCCACAATGAGTCAGGATCGTTTAACTGATCTAGCACTATTACATGTACATGCCTGGGACTTACCCATAGAAGCTAATGCAGTAATAGATCGATATGTCAATAAGAAAAATCGAACACTAGAATTTATCATTTAATTTATCAATGAAATGATATCAATTTATCATTTACTTTTCAATGAACCTACCTATATTTGTATGTAGTATGATAAGTACAACGAATATCATTGTTTATTTTCACTCACCTTGCCAAAGACAAAAAAATGTTGTTTTTCTCTGAAATCGAAAGTTTATTTTTGTTGAAATTTTTAGTTATTTATACTTTCTTATTTTATTTATGTTAAAATTGGAGATTTAACAAATGTGACGTTTTTATTTTATAGTTTTCTAATAATTCGTGTCATTGTGGAAGGTGAGTTGGTGAAAAGGCCAGTATGCATTTTTTTCTTGTTGAAATGGTGGTATGGTGAAAATATTTTTCTCCGCAATCCCCCCTGTAAACGAAAGCTGTATACGCGCCTGCCTCCAGAAGAGAAATTGGCTATAACACTTCAGTAAAGTGAATTGTTGAAGATGTAAATATGTATCTAACAAAAAAAAAATCAGATATTTGTCGCAAGAAACTTCGCGTGGGCATACCATTTGGGAAAGACCACAATCCATAAAATTATTGAGGAAATTTGCGGTGTTGTGTGGCAAATTTCAGCGCCAATATATCTTAAACCACCAACGACTGAAGCCGACTAGCTGAACATTGAAAAAGGATATCGGGAAAAATGGAATATACCGCATTGTCTCGGTGTCCTAGATGGAAAACATGTGCCAATAAAAAAACCTGCAAATTCAGGTTCAATGTTTTTCAATTATAAAAAGTTTCATATTTTAATTTTACTGGATGCAAATTATTGCTTCACTATGTTGTGTTCAAAGATTCACCATTTGGTATTTCATTTGAAAATGATGAAGCCAATATACCTCAACCGAGAAATATAGATGGAACCAACATAATGATGCCATATTTTCTGGTTGCTGATGATACTTTTTCTCTAAAAAAATATATAATAAAACCATTATCTTGGTAGTAATTTATCAGATAAAAAATTAATTTTTAATTTTTGAATGTCAAGAGCTCGAATCACTATTGAAAATGCTTTCGGAATTCTGGTTGCTCGTTGGCAAATATTAAAAAGAGTTACACGGAATGAAATAGATGATAGTGTCGATACAGTCAAGCCTTGTGTAGTTCTCCACAATTTTTTGAAAACAGAATTACTGACAGGAAACAAACTATATACACCACGTGAATTTACAGATAGATAGGTATTTTACTGCCTGGGAGCTGAAGGGGAATATCAGATGAATTAAAATTAGTAGGCCATGTATCTACAAACAATTCAGCAGAATACGCCCAAAAAATGAAAAATCAATTAACAGATTAATTTCTTACTGAAACAGTAGAGCTGCATAAACAATATACCCATATCCTAAGAGGTACGATTGAGACTTGTCACTGATGCGATTCACAAATTTTGTTTACTATGTAAAGTATTACACTTTTCAGTTTCAATTAAGCTCTAGTCTTTCAGTTATAGTTAAAAACTTAAAATTCATCTATTACCAAAAACTTGAAATATTTCATATCTGGAAAAAATAAAACAGCATAAGAAACCAAAAATTGCGTATCATGAAAAATTTGTAACAAAAATTGTTGGTTGAAAACTTAGTCAGAGTTATTACATAAGGAGTCATTTATAAGTTGTGTAATTTTTGTTTTCAGTTTCGCCTTTATTTTTCTATTTGTAATGTCTTTCAAAGCTAAACCTACATAATCCTCAAAGATTAGGTCTGAATCTGTTTGGCTGGGTAGTAATTGAATCAGTAATTTTTGTGACAGCTTTCACAATATCTTCTTCCAATTTTGTTTCTTTAATATTTGAATACATGTTTTTGAAAGATTTGCATTACTCAAGTCAAAAGTGAGAGGGTCTATTCGACCATTCACCGCAAACCGCAAGGGTTTTTGTGGCTCACGCTTAATCACACTCGACCAAATGAACCCAACTTCCTAACGAAGCCGAATAGTTTGTATGGTGAGTGGTCTTTCAGGTCAGATGGTAACAGTACGGCTATGCCACCGGGGACAGCACAAAGTATGTGCTCTGCCGTTTCATCATTTTCCAAACACAGGCGACACCAACTGTCTTCCGACAGTCCAAGTCTCTGCATATGATGATTCAAATGACACTAATTGAAACTAATTTATGTTGGGAATCATACGTTAAAAGCTAAGACCTCGTTAATCCTTAGCTCACACAAGTTTAGACTTCTGAGGGTTGTCGTTCGTAGGGGTGCGACAGCTGGTTAACGGAAAACACATTTTAAACAGATTTTTCTTCAAATCATTCGAATCTTCAATACCAATCATCAGTTTGGATAACAACTGGTTTCTCTCTTTTGAAACCTTTACAACGGTTATAAAATAAAATTATAAAATGTGTATACAAGTTGAAACACAGAGAGAGAGAAATAGAGAAAGAGAGTACCAGCACTCTGTATACAAAATGATTTGATATTAGGGGAATTTAGGAGTACCATTTCAAAATATGCAT